CGCTTAGAGGAGCCTTGGGGAGGTGGAGGCAGCGAGCTGAGCAGAGCTGAATGGAACAGAGCTGAGCTCCTGCGGCAGAGGGTGACCCCTGCTGGCCACCCAGCGTTTGCCACTTCCCTGACACCAGCCACTGTATCGAGTGAGGCACACGGAGATGGCTTTGGAAAGAAAACAAACGATTTGGACAGGATGGATGGAATCAAGAGGACATCTTTGGGGGAATCAGTCATGGCTCGAGGTGCCGGCAGCCAGGGGACACTGGCCACTTACTAGTTGCTACTTAGAAAAGCAGAGTTTAAATCTTAGCCCAGAAATTTCCTGGCTGGATGTCTTAGGGCAATTCATGTCATTTCTCCTTTTAAAGGTTCAGATAACACTTAGCAAGACTGGGCACTAGCAGCTCATGCCTAATCCTAGCTATTTGGGGGGCTAAGATCTGGAGGATCAGAGTTTGAGGTCCACCTGGGCAGACATGTCCATGAAATGCCATCTCCAAAATAACCAGCTGGGCTGAAGGCATGGATCAAGTGGTAGAGCAACCAGCCTATTAAGTCCGAATCCCTGAATTGAAGCCCCACTACTGCTTTAAAAAAAAAAAAAAGGAAGGAAGGAAGGAAAGAAAGAAAGAAAGAAGAACAAAAAAAAGGAAAGAAAATTAGCTATGTAATAGACTCTATCAATCTGCCTCTTCCAAGCTCCATCGTTCATACCTCCTCCCACCCATCCCTCCTTTCTTCCTACCTGGGACTTTAACTTCAAAGGAATCCATTCCTGATGTTCAGAATCCCAGTTTTCACCACTTAGCACTTTAGAAAAGTCATCTCAGCGACATAGGCATGTGGTGGCACATGCCTATAATCCCAGCCTTCTGGAGGCTGAAGCAGAAGGGTTGTAAGTTAGAGGCCAGCCTGATCTGCTTAAACAACACAGGACACAAGATTGTCTTTGTGATTCCGGACATCTTCTGCCAGCTGTCCACTCATCCCTTCCTTCCCACCATCACACACACACACACACACACACACACACACACACACACACACACTCTGCCAGCTGTCCACTCATCCCTTCCTTCCCACCATCACACACACACACACACACACACACACACACACACACACACACACACACTCTGGATTCCGCCCAGATGTGCTGTATAACCTTGGACTCACCACAGTGGCCTAGATCACCCCCAAAAAAACCAGGTGGACTGTTCGAGTAGAGGAGACTCAAAGCACGTTGTCATCCATACCCTAAGAAATTTTGGCTCTGGAAACTAATTCAGTCCAACGGTCCAACTGCCGACCTGCAGAAGGCTTGCCTGTGCGCCCTGGCGAGGGCCCAGGCTGTGCTTGAACAGCACCAGCTCCCCTCACTGCTGGCTCGCTGTAGTGGGACAACTGGAGGTTCCGCAGGAAAGAACAGTGTGGAGCCCCCATGTCGCTGGCTGGGGAAGGCTGAGCTTGTGAATTGGAGCTTTCCTCCAGGGGCTGACTACCAGTCATTAAACAAGCATTTCTCCAACTCCTCCCCCCACCCACCCCCCCACCGCTCCCTACCCAGGTCTCTGACCCCGATTAAATGCATTTTCATCCTGGAAGGCCTTGCTGAGAAATAGACCTTGAGAAGACCCCCTCATTCTCCCTTCATACCATCCTCTCCTACAGATGGGGAAAGTGAGGCCTAGAAACCAGAGATGCCTGAACTGTGTTATCGGGGCTTGGAGACCCCAGTGCTCCTTGAGAGGATGAAGGTACAGAAGGGACCCGAATCCCCACTGGGCAGCTTTCTGGTTCTCTAGATGCTGACGCTTGCCAACAGCACCCCCTGCTGGCCTTTTAGGCTATTGCAGGTCCTTTGTCCTGGGGGCTGCGGTGAGTGCTTGCCCTGGCCTGGGATTCCTTTGTGCTTCTCCTCAGGCTCTCTTAGTCACTCAGATGACCCGGGTTTGGCTTAACAAGTTCCTTCAGCTCCGTGTCATTATGGCTGGCTGTCCTTGGCCTGTGACAGCTGCAGCCTTTACTGGGACCCTGGCAAGCACCTGAGTTCTACCCTGTAGGGTCCCTTGGGCTCAGAGGGGGCCTGGAAAGAGGAAGTAAGCAGTTGGCTAGTCCCTGCTTCTCCACAGGAGGCCCCAGGCACTGGGAGCCTTTGCCACCTGAGTGTGGAAGGGGCTCGCTCTGCAGGTAAACTCAGGTCCTGCCGGGGCGACTCTGGAATAGTAAGAGGACCTGTGCCACCCCTCCCCCGTACACCTGCAACCCCACACAGCCTCAGCAAGGGTCCCCGTCCCTCCCCTGGACCTGTTCAACAGCACAATTGTTATGGGAAAGCTGGGATCCCGCGGTTGGCTCTTTCCCCACCAATTAGAAACCCTGAGCCTCAGTTTTCTCTTCTGCAAACGGGGGATATACCAGTGTCTCTCTGTGCCCAGGATGTGGACTAGCACCTGAGTGGGCACAGGAGGACCTCCATAGATTATCACCTACCAGGAGAGGGATCGCAGGTGTGGGCACTTGATCCTGTCATCTCATTCTGCTTGCTCTACAGGCCCATGCAGGGCTCAGCACAGTAGCGCACTGCACTGATCCCTGGGAGATGACCCACCCAGGGGGATGGGTGGATACACGGACTCGGGCCGGGAAGTTGGACCTTGGGGAGTATAAATGTGTGGAGGGTGGCGGGTGTGGTGCATAGATAGATGGTCAACAGGGTGAGGGAGAGGGAATAAATACGGGGTATAACCCCCACCTTTACATTCTCGCTGGAAGGTTCCAACATAAAGCCCAAAATACAAATGTCCAAAGGCCCAGCTCCCCCACTGGAAGAATGTGTTCTTTAGATGCATGTACTGATTCAGTGACAAGTTGAGGCCCCCTCACACTGAGTGGGTATGGAAGCCTCCTGCACGGAGGAAGGAGGCTAGGCTGGGCTCAGGTAAGTGCACAACCCTAGCAGAGGGTCAGCTTTCAAATGTTCCTTGTGTTTTGGAATATTATACAGCTGTTAAAAATGAAAAGACTCTGTTTTGAATGGGAATAAACTTTGGCATGCATATGTAAACACATACCTACCTCTACATACATATGTGTTTATGTATGTTGTTTATCATACACAGCTACAATATATTTTGGTATTATTTGTCCTCCATTTATTATGAAAGAGAACAAGGAAGAACCAGATGGTATAAATAGGATGGTGTCATTAAGGGCATTGGTCAAGATGAATTGTACTCATACACTGACGTGCTGACTTGTAACCCCCTTGTACAACTACTTAATGATAATAATACAAGCCAGGTGCCAGTGACTCATACCTGTAATCCTAGCTACTCAGGAGGCTGAGATCTGAGGATCATGGTTCGAAGTCAGCCCAGGCAGGGAAGTCCATGAGACTCTCATTTCCAATTAACCAGCAAAAAATCCAGAAGTGGAGCTGTGGCTTAAGTGGTAGAGTGCTAACCTTGAGCAAAGTAAGATCAAGGACAGTGCCTAGACCCGGAGTTCAAGCCCCAGGACCAGCAATAATAATAATGATGATGATGATGAATTAAAATAGAAATCTATTGGTTTTTTTTTTTTTTTCATGGTGATTGTCCTGGGGCTTGAACTCAGGGCCTGGGCACTGTCCCTAAGCTTCTTTGGCCTAAGGCTAGCACTCTACCACTTGAGCCACAGCACCACTTCTGGCCTTTTATTTATTTATTTTTAATGGAAATAAGAGTCTCACAGACTTTCCTCCCCTGGCTGACTTTGAACCAAGGTCCTCAGATCTCAGCTCCTGAGTAGCCAGGAAGACCGACGTGAGCCACCAGCACCTGGCTTTGTGTTAATGCTTGCAGCAGGCGTGGCAGGTTTGGGGCTTGCTTTTGTAGGATGAACTCAGAAAGGCACTCTTGGCACTGCCTGACTCCCAGGGCTGAGGCCAGGCAGTGGGGAATGCTCCCTCAACAGGGTGCCCACATGGACGCAGAAAGACAGGCAAGACACAGGCAGCTCCTCCTCGCCCTGACCCCCTGAATTAGAACCTCAGTCTCCCCTGGTAACCCAAAGACCCCACAGCAGCAGAGGAGTGGCTGCAGCCCCTGTCCACAGAGGGGGCTCTCAAATGGGTCATTTGGTGACCTGAGTCGAGACCAAGGGTCTTTGGCAGAGCGGTGTGGCCCGGTGACAGGGTTGGCCCCGCCCCCATGCTTGCAGCTCTCTGCCTGCAGTGGGAAGAGTTCACTGCTCCAGTGGACATGGGGCCTGGCCCACAGAGCCGGGGGATGGAACTCCATGCAGCATCCGGCCATTGCTGTTGTGGCCTCCCTGAGCCGCCTGGGGACTCTTGGAACTTTCTGGAACCAAGGCAGCCTCCTCTCTTTCACCCCACCACGAGGGAAGAAATGCCACTGGGGTGCTGGTGACACTCCTACTCCAGATAAAGAAAGCCCAGTGCCCAACGCACGGACTGCAAGCCCCACGCAGTGGTGCTGGCCAAGGGTGAGAGTCAGGAGCCCTAGGCCTCCCTGTGCCGCCCACTGAGCCTCCACTCCCTGGTCTGCAAAACTGGGGTGGTGCTTCACTGGGCGCCCGTGGCTCACGCCTGTCATCCTAGCTACTCAGGAGGCTGAGATCTGAGGAGCGTGGTTTGAAGCCAACCCAGGCAAGAAAGTCCATGAGACTCTTATCAATGAACCAGCAAAAAAAGCCAGAAGTGGAGCTGTGGATCAAGTGGTAGAGAACCAGCCTAGAGAGAAAAAGCACAGGGACAGCACCCAGGCTCTGAGTTCAAACCCCAGGAATGACACAAAGAAAGGGGGCGGTGCTATCCAGTGCACGCCCACATCAGACTGACTGTCGGATCCCCTTTGCTCCGGGCCAGCTATGCCCATGCGGGGAAGGGTGGCCTGGGTGCCCGGGGTGGGCAGAGGCCCCCCGCGGTGGCCAGGGCCCTGGAGGCAGGAGGTGGACAGACCCAGTGCCGTCACTGACATGGCTGTCATCTTCTCTCTGCAGGCTGGACGTTCATGGCTCTCGGGTAGGACGCAGCGAAACAGCCAGAATGAATTCTATGGACAGACACATCCAGCAGACCAATGACCGGCTGCAGTGCATTAAGCAGGTGTGTTGGGGCTCAGGGGGTGAAGACAGGATGGGCTGAGCAGGGGGTGCTAGAGCCTGTGCTGTGAGAGGGAGGTTGGTGGGGGTCGGGGGAGAAAGACAGTGGGCAAAGGCCAACCTTACACTGGTATCTGTGCCCCACGCCTGGCTCTGAAGGCCAGCGTGTCCCTTCCCTGCTGTGTGATTGTGAGCCAGTGTCCTTCCCTCTCTGGGCTCTGAGCTGTGTGGTCCATGAGTGCCTCTCTAACATGATGATCCCACTGCCTCCCCCTAGCTAAGCTCCCTGCCCCTGACTTCCAACTGGCACTGGTGGCTCACGCCTGTAATCCTGACTACTCATGAGGCCGTGATCTGAAAAATGCAGTTCAGAGTTAGCAGAGGCAGGAAAGTCATTGGGACCCGGATCTACAGTTAATCTCCACCCAAAAGGCTGGAAGTGGAGGTGTGGATCAAGTGGTAGAGTGCTAGCCTTGAGGGGTAAATAAATGCTCAGGGACAATGCAGAGGCTGAGTTCAAGCGCCAGGAGAGAGAGAGACAGAGACAGAGAAAGGAGCTAGAGACAGAGAAGGTCTTGGGAAATTGAATCATTTCATAGAAAAGGAAACTGAGGCTGGGTGCTGGTGGCTCACACCTCTCATCCCAGCTACTCAGGAGGCTGAGATCTGAGGATTATGGTTTGAAGTCAGCTCACGGTTTGAATCTTAGCTCTGATTAACCCCCAGAAAACCAGAAGTGGCACAGAGGCTCAAGAGATAGAGTGCTAGCCTTGAGCAAAAAGAAGCTCAGAGACAGGACCCAGGCCCAGAGTTCAAGCCCCAGGACGGGCAAAATAAAAGAAAACATAAAGAAAGGGAAACTGAGTCACCAAGAGGCCACTAGTACCGAAAAGATCACAGTCCCTGGCCAGGCCAGCTCCCCATCCAGCCATTTCTCAGCCTGTCTGGTCTCGAGCGCCCCACCTGGTAGGTCAGGGGTATAACAGCCCCAGGGCTCAGCCTCCCTGCCCAAACCTGGGGTGGCCAGAAGGAAGTAGGGGTGGGAAGAATATGGGCTTTGGCATCAGACCATCGTGCCCAGTGGGGGCTCAGGCTTGGCTCTGAGCTGAGGCTTTCATTCCTCCAGGCCTCAGTTTCCTTGCACATCAGATAGGCCCCAGCAGGCTACCTGGTAGGAGGTTGTGAGAGTGTTGTGGGGGACACAGGCAGCCCAGCACTGCCTGTCTGTGGAGGAGAGGGGTGGGGCATGCATGGGGTGGGCTCAGCAGGGAGCAACTATAGGCCAGGCAGTGCCCAGCGTGGCTTCCCCCGCAGCGCCCTCCCAGGACAGCCGAGGCAATTCCACAGGAACGAGGGGGGCTGTCCTCGAATTGGCATCAAACAGAGCCATCTTGGGAGTCCATGCAGGGCCTGCCGAGAGGAAATTGAAGATTTGTTACAGATTGAACCCAGCCCAGTCGGCCGCCCAAAAGCCAATTACAGGCCTCACTGTTCACCCTCTCCATCGAATAGAAACAAGACTGAGTGCCTCCTCCCGCCTTCCCTTCCTTGCCTTCCTCCCTCCTCCTTCCTCCCTTCCACCTGCCCTTGGTCCTGCTCAGGATGATCCCCTCACTTACCCATAGCCCTGCCCAGCTCAGGAGAGACCGCTCTCTGCTGAACTTGCCCTCCCTGGCATGCCCTCCCTCTCCCTCTCCTTTTTCATTTCCTTCACCCTCTCCCTCCCTTCTGTGGGACAGCAAGCCTGAATACCCATCAGAAGAGACCCTGATAAAATACCTTCTTACCTCCTCTGTGAGATGGGCATCTTCATGGATTCCTGATGATCAGGGAGTGTTAGAGTGCCCGCTGCCTTCCCTGACTGGCTCCAGACGCACAGGGCCCTGCACGGGGGCCTCAGGATGTTACTCTGGGCCCTTCAGACTTTCCCAATCCCCTCATTCCTCTGCTCCCAGCTCAGCCTCTCATCCCCCCATCCCTGGTTCCAGCCATTTCAGGCATTCCATTCCCCAAACGCTCCCTGGCCTATCTTCTCTGCCATCAACTACTTCTACCATGTCTCAGCTTTGAGGGGTTCAGAGAACCAGGGTTCCCTCTCAACACGATGGCCCTTCATCGCTCCCATCATCGGGCTCACAATGTTCCCTGGGGAATATTGTGCACCCCTACCGGAGCCCAGGGGCTTTCTGGGCATCCAGAAACCACATCAGTCCTACTTTGAGCAAGACATGGCATTGGGGCTCCCACCAGGCTGCATTTTGTCATCTCCAAGTCTGCAAAGTCCAGCTAGCTAGTTAGAGCCCAGCCCAGGGTGAGGCCTGAGTATTGTAGATGGGTGCTTGGGAAGGGTGGACCACCACAGGAACGGATGGGATGGGTGGGTGGGAAGGAGAGAGGATGGGTAGAGATGATGGATGGATGGATGGATGGATGGATGGATGGGTAGGTGGCTGGAGAGATTGACTTATGGGTGAATGGGTGTATTAAGAGAAGAATGAATAGATGGAAGAGGGCTGGAGAAAGGAGTGAATGGATGAATAGCTGGGTGGACAGGTGGAGAGATGGATGGATGCCTTGATTCACTTTGAATGAATGGATGGATAGATGCGTGGGTAATTTGATTCACAGAGTGGCTGGTGGGCCACTGTATTGGTAAGAGGCTGAATCTGTCCCTGGATAGCTGGCCCTGGTCTGGGTGTGGCTGTGCTTTGTCCTTACAGACTCAGCAGACATGAGACATCATCCAAACTCTCTGAGGAGTTGTGTGGATGAGCAAGGCTGTCCAGTGAGGCACAGGGTATTAGTGTTTAGTACCAGCCAGCCTCTGATTCCATTGTGTGCCCATTCTATTCCATCCTAGGCTGGTCACGCTCACCCTGGCCCGGCCTCAGCCCCTCTCTGTGGCACTAGGGTCCCTTGTGAAGTGACAAGGCTAGCTGAAGAGATATCCTTTGGACAATTGACTGACCATCTACCACTTCCTGTGGGCTCTACCTTGGGCCAATCCTGGGTGAACAGGAGTCTTGACCTTAAAGTAGCTCATAAGGAAACAAGAATCCACACTGAGCTATGTGCTCATGTTTGTAATCCCAGCTGCTCAGGAGGTGGAGATCTGAAGATCACAGTTCAAAGCCAGCCTGGGCAGGAAAGTCCATGAGACTCTGATCTCCAATAAACCAGCAAAAAAGCCAGAAGTAGAGCTGTGGCTCTAGTGGTGCTAGCCTTGAGCACAAAAGCTTAGGAATAGGGCCCAGGCCCTGAGTTCAAGCCCCAGAACACACACATACACACACACACACACACACACACACACAATCTGTGGTGAAACCCTTGCAGGGAGCTCACCTGGGGCAATGGGGTTTCTCACAAATACTCTTCCTCACCTTGGCAGTAGCCCTGCAAACTGTCATCACTCATCTTTACAGATGAGGATGCTGAAGCACATGCTGGGCCCAGCCATGACCACAGACACTGGGCTCCTATGCAACAACCAGCCCGGAGAGTGCCTGCTGCTAGCTCCACCCATGAGCTGCACCCACTACGACCCAGCTGTCTGGGCCGAGGGCCACACTCATGCACCCCAAGGCTTAAAGGGTGGAGGGTGCTGTGACCACTCGTGTGCCATCAAGCAGGAAGCAGCAAAAGGGAAGCCAGGGGCTGCTGACCCTGCTAATTGGGTGTGACATCGTGTAAATAAACGGAACAACTCGGTTAGCAGGGCAGAGAGCTGCCTGGCGGGAATGAGCTGACACTGTGTAACAGCTTTCCCCGAGGAGCCTACATGCCACTCGGGGCTGTGTGGAGAAGAGCGTAGACCCGGGACCACCCTCCAGAAGAGCAGGGCTCAGCATGCAGAGGTCCCTCTTGGCTCCTGCAAGTAAAGGGACAATGGCTTTCAGAGAGCTGGCCTGAGTGCCACCTGCAGCTGTGCCATGAGGAAGCCAGAGTCTGAGCCAGGTGCAGCTGCACATGAGAGTGGTCCTCTGTGTCAGGCGCCCCACCAGGGCTGCCCGGGCCTCTTCTCATCTCATATCACCCAGCCCCATCCCAAAGGCTTGGTGGTGTTCTGCAAGCTGTCTTTCTCCTTCTTTCTCTTCTCTTCTGCTATATCTATGGAGGGATTTCTCCCTCTCTCCCTCCTGTTTATCTTTTGGTTTGTTTGTTTGTTTTTAGTGCTGGTCCTGGGTTTGAACTCAGACCCTCAGGCTCTTATTGGCTTTGTTTTTCTTCTTCCTTTTCCTTTTTTTTTTTTTTTTGGTGCTGGTCGGTCCTGGGGCTTGAACTCAAGGCCTGGACACTGTCCCTGAGCCTTTTATTGCTCAAGGCTAGGGCTCTATTACTTGAGCCACAGTACCGCTATTTTGGTGGTTAATTGGAGGTAAGAGTCTCACAGACTTTCCTGCCTGGGCTGCCTTAGAACGGTGCTCCTCAAATCTCAGCTTCCTGAGTAGCTAGGGTTACAGGTGTGAGCCCCCTGGTGCCTGGCCAGCCAGGTTTTTTGGCTCAAGGCTGGTACTCTACCACTTGAGCCATAGCTCCACTTCCTCTCCTATTTTTACTTTTTTTTTGGGGGGGGGACTGGTCATGGGGCCTGAACTCTGGGCCTGGGCGCTGTCCCTCAGCTCTTCAGCTCAAGGCGAGCACTCTACCACTTGAGCCACAGTGCCACTTGCAGTTTTTTCTGCTTATGTGGTGCTGAGGAATCAAACCCAGGGCCTCATGCATGCAAGGCAAGTGCTCTACCACTGAGCCACCTTCCCAGCCCTCCTCTCCTATATTTTTTTTTTAATTTTATTTTATTTGAGAACATACTGTACAGAGGGGTTACAATTACATGGGCAGGATAATGCATACAATTCTTACCAAGCATTGCAGCCTCCTCCTTTGTTTACCCTTCACCTCCCTTCCCAGCCTCCCCCCTCCCCCCCACCCAATCATCAATCATACCCCCTCCCCCCCCCCCCACCGACATTGTAAAGCTGGTTTTGACATGACATTTTGTACTTCTCATTGTTGCAACAGGTCCACCTGAATCCTTAAACGACTTGTTTGTCCCCATCTCCTCCACATGTTATACTGACATCAAATATAGTGAAAGCGGGGGTTACACTGTGGGGGAGGGACATACAAAGCAACAAAGAAATAATCTTATAAATGCGTTAGAAACACATGCATGAAAGAAACAAAAACATTAAAATACATATTTGAGGGTTCGTTTTCCTAACATCACATTATCTGACCTTTTCCGCTTGACTCATACCTATACTAGATATTGCAAATAAGGGAAACCATGGGACCTATGTTTCTTTGGGCCTGGCTTACTTCACTTAATATAATTTTTTCCAAGCCTTTCCATTTCCTAACAAATGGGGCAATGTCATTCTTTCTGATGGAGGCATAGAATTCCATTGTGTATATATACCACATTTTCTTGATCCATTCATCTACTGAGGGGCATCTGGGTTGGTTCCATATCTTAGCTATGGTAAATAATGCTGCAATAAACATAGTTGTGCTGGTAGCTTTAGTGTGGTCTTTTTTGTAAACATTAGGGTAAATGCCCAAAAGTGGGATTGCTGGGTCATAGGGGAGTTCTATGTGAAGTCTTTTGAGGAACCTCCATACTGCTTTCCAAAGTGGTTGAACAAGTTTACATTCCCACCAACAATGAAGTAAGGTTCCTTTCTGTCCACATCCCCTCCAGCATCTGTTGTTGTTAGAGTTCTTGATTTTCGCTGTTCTAACTGGAGTGAGGTGATATCTCAATGTTGTTTTGATTTGCATTTCTTTTATGGCTAGGGATGTTGAACATTTTTTCATGTGTCTATTGGCCATCCTTCTTTCTTCTTCAGAGAAGCTTCTCTTTAAGTCTTTCGCCCACTTATTTATTGAGCAGTTGTTTCTTTGAGGATTTGTTGTTGGGTGGTTTAATTTTTTGAGTTCCAAGTATATTTTAGATATGAGACCCTTGTCCGTTGTATGGCTAGTAAAGATCTTCTCCCAATCCGTAGGCTTTCTATTGATCTTGCTAGCTATGTCATTTGCCCTGCAGAAGCTCTGCAACCTTATGCAATCCCATTTGTCCAACCTTTCTTTGATTTGTTGTGTTTCCGGGTCTCTATTCAGAAAATTACGGCCTGAGCCAAGGAGACCTAGGGTTTCTCCTATTCCATCCTGTAATGTTTTCAGAGTGTCTGCTTTGAGTTCAAGGTCTTTGATCCATTTGGAGTTGATTCTGGTGCAGGGTGATATATAAGGATCTAGCTTTAGTTTTCTACATGTAGTTAACCAATTTTGCCAGCACCATTTACTGAAGAGGCTGTCTTTCTTCCATTCTATTGTTTTAGCTCCCTTATCGAAGATTAGATGGCTATAGGTCTGTAGGTTCATTTCTGGGTTTTCAATTCTATTCCATTGGTCCTGAGGTCTGTTCTTATGCCAATACCAAGCTGTTTTGATTACTATGGCTTTATAGTAGAGTTTGAAATTCCTCTCCTATTTTTAAACCTTGCTTTGCATGAACTATATGGTAGCAACAGTCATGGCACCCCAGGGGCAAGAAATAACTTCATACTGCCACCGCATGGTCTGCTGTGCCCCCATTTTACACACGGGGCTATGGAGGCTTCAGGAAGTGGGGGCTGTTAGAAGATGCAGGAAGAGGATGATCCCAGGAATCCTGCCCCATGGCGGCTAGCTCCATGCTCCCCAGCTTTGCATCTTACAGCAGGAGCCTGCCATTCTTAACAGTTCTTCACAGAACTGTTTACAGTTCTTTACAAAAGCTCAAGCCCCTGGGGTGGGCAACAAGGGACCCCTTTGGGGCAGCTACCATTTGTCATCCATTGCAGCACCGAGGGGACAAGGACCCAGAAACTGTCACCATCCTGCAGCTGGGCAGCTGGCTTAAAGTCCTCCACCGGGACACCTTGTGTGCCACAGCCACCCCTGGGCCAGAGTCTCATCCCAGAATCTGGCTAGGCCTGGAGCCTGGCCCATGGCACCTGATCAAGTCTTTTCCTCTCCATGTCTCATTGTCATGTCCAAAGGGCCTGGGAAGCCAAGGGTACAGTTTTATAGCTCATGCATGACCTCTCAACATGGGGACCCACGATTCTGACTCTAAATGGAGGCGAACCCCTTTCTCCTGCCCACGCCAAGGGAGATAGAGCCTGACAGTCCCAAGCCGCACACACCAGTCACAGCACAACTATAATGAGCCCAATTTGCTTGGTGAGTTTGCTCTGAAGACAGAACAGAGGGGTGAGAGTGGTGTTGATCCGGAAGAAGTCTCCGAAGCTAGCCTATCCTGGGTTAAGGAGCGCCAGCTCCAAGGGTGGGGACCCCTGTAGGGGCCACCTCCACCCCAACTCCCAGAATCAGAGGCCCTGACTTATGAGCCCTTGACTTTCATCCATCACAGGTTTCCCTGTCCTTGCGAGGGGGTAGCTTCTGGCCTCCATCCTGCTGGGGTAGGGGAGGCCCTGTGCTCAGAGGCAGGTGTGCAGAGCGGGGCTGAGGGAGTGCCTGGGTCCAGGCCTGTCCTCCCCTGGCTGGACCTGGGGTCTTCCTTGCTCAGCCTCCATCCTGGAGCCTCACACCACCTCCTTCTCTCTACCCACAGCACTTACAGAATCCTGCCAACTTCCACAATGCCGCCACGGAGCTGCTGGACTGGTGCGGAGACCCGCGGGCCTTCCAGCGGCCCTTCGAGCAGAGTCTGATGGGCTGCCTTACCGTGAGTGCAAATCTCCCTACTGCACTTGCCACCCCAGGGGGAGGACGGGGGAGGAAGAGGGGGGTACAGGCCTGTCCTTGTGTCCAGGAGGCACCAGATAATGGGAGTGAGAGCTGGAAGACACTGAGCTGGAAGGGTGGCTCTGCTGTGCTGTGTACGCTTTCTGCCAGGGTCTGATGAGGAGATTCTGTGGGTTCTCTACACTTGAGAGAGACAGGTGCACTTTGGGGAGGTCAGGGTGCTCTTCTAAGGAAAACAAGGAGACTTTTGAAAGATTCTCAGCCTTCCTTTTCACCAGACATTCATTCTTTCACTTGTTGAACATTTATTGAGCTCTTTTTCATTGCCGTTCATCCATTCACCCATCCATCTATATCCATCCATCCACTCACCCATCCATTCATCCACCCACCCATACATTCATTTATTCATTCATTCATCCTCTCACCCATTCATTCATCCATCTGTCGTCCGTTCCATCCACCATCTACCTTCTATCTGTATCCATCCATCTACTCACCCATCCATTCATCCACACATACATACACACATACATACATACATACATCCACTCACCCATCCATCTACTCATCTACTCTCCCATTCATTCACCCATCTATCCTCCAGTCCATCCACCATCCATCCATTCATCCATCTACTCACTCATCCATCTATATCTGTCCATGTCCATATTCAACCATCCATCCATCCACTCGTCCATCCACATCTAGCCATCCATCCATATCCATTCATTTATCCATCCACTCACCCATCCATCATCCATCCATCCTCCTATCCATCATCCATTCATCCACCATTCATCCATCCATCACCATCATCTATCCTTCTGAAGCATTTATTGAGCGTCTATTACATCCATCTGTCTAGCCCAATAAACACTATCAATGCCTGATTTATCATGTGTGACTTCTGCCGAGGCTTTCCCAAGTGGAATGGCCAGTGTGTAGAAGTGACTGAGAAAATCACCAATGAGGAGAGCCACCCGGAGAAGGGAGTCCCCAGCTGTCTACAAGGTAGAGCTAGTTAAGAAAGCCACTCCTCCATAAGCGCCATGCAGCTGGGGACAGAGAGAGCAACCCCAGGCTCGCAGAACAACATGTGTACATGCACAGATGGCCAGGGAGCCCAGAGAGTGAGCACAGGCTCTTGGATACACACTAGACAGAGGCCTGGCCCAGACAGAAGTCAAGGCCTGGCTTGCCAGGCTGAGGAGAACCGCGTGCAAGCTTCTGGCAGCTTGTGGTGTCTGCAGCCAAGTGGCCTGCATCCCTAAGCATTGAGGGCAGCCTCAAGGAGGCCCTGAGTCAGCGTTGAAGGGTGCGTGGGTGATGGCTTCCTGGGGGATGGACTGTCTCAGGTGTGCAGAGGATGGGGCTGGGTGCTGTCCTGGGGCCCTGCATGGGTCTAAAGAGCTCCAGGCAGCTAGGGAGACAGGAGATGAGTTTGGTCCCATCTTGGAAGAGGAGAAATGATGGCTTGGGCAGTCACCACAGAGTCCCCATTGTGAGCGAGGCCGAGCTACAAACATGGTGCATGTGGTGTCCAGAATCCACTTGGAGAGCTCCATCCTGTCACCTGCCCATTCTAAGGCCTATTCCTGACTGTGCCACGGCCACCCAGCCTCAGAAAGAGGCCTGGACTCCATGTGAGGCCTGTCTGCCTCCACAGCAGGAACTCTAGGCCATGGGGCTGCCTGATAGGGAGGCAGCTCAGAGCCTCCCAGGATGCCTCTGTCTGTCAGAAGCCCACACCATCTGGCTTCCTGTAGGCCACCTGCACTGCCCAGCCTTCCTCTTCTCAGCCCTGGGCCTCCCCTCCCCATCCCCCAGCTGCTTTAATCCTCTTTGTGGGGATCGTGGTTCTGCCTAAGCCCAGGGACATGGACAGATGTTGCCAATGTCCCCTCGCTTCCACCCCAGCTACAGGGTAAGGAGGAGGTCTTGTTAGCACACTGCCCCAAGACTGACCCTGTGGAGGACATGGGACTGAACTGGACAAAGGCCTTGGCCAGACTGGATAGATCAGTAACCAGCCTCGCTTCAGATTTGTTGTTCATTCATTCACAAGTCCCTGCCATGGGCCAGCACCATGGCCATGCTGATCTACTCAGGAAGGACACTGATCCCAGAATCCATGCAGAAGAGCAAAGACACCTCAGAGCCCTGGGAAGACAGGCAGCTTGCAATTCAGGCCACCTCCCTGGGAGGATGAAAGGCTTTTCTAATCCAAAGCAACTGTTCGTGTAAAGGCCTTGGGGTTTGGATCTAGTGGAACGGCACATGGCAAGGGCTCGCAAGGTCCAGCGAGAGGAGCCTGCTCTTAGCTGCAGAGTGGCAGGCAGGAGATGGCGGGGCAGTTGGAAGGTAGTGTGGAGGAGCTATGAAGGGCTTCCAGGAGGAAGGAAGATCTCCAGGGGGTCTCAAAGATCCAGTGCCTGCCCCCAGCCCTCCAGCCTGCCACTCAGCAAAGGGAGGCTTTGCCCCTACCCGGTCATGACAGCAAAGGTGGAGACCCCTATCCGGAGACTCGGGAGTGCTGGCCACAGGGATTGTCTGGCACGGCAAGGAGGCATTGGGAAGTCGCCCTGAGCGCCCACACTGTGCCCTCATGGATGGAGCGTGCGTGCTTGGGCTCTCCCCATTCTGAGCGCAGCTCTGGCTTCCCGGTCACTATCATCGTGGGGTGACCTCTGGAAGCTAGTTCCAGATTCCTCTGGATCCATCTGGCTTACTCCAAGGATGTAAATTAAAACCTATTTAGCCTTGGGCAGCACGTGGACGCAGTTTGGCCACCGATGTCTGAGCAGCTCAGGCTCAATTCCAGAAAGTGGCTCTGGGCCTGACCACTAGAGCGTGGGACCTCCCTGGATGCCCTGGGGCCACCCCCCTGCTCCCCGTCCTCCCTGGAGGCAGAGCACACTTAGCAGTATGCCCAGGGAGCAGCAAAAAGCCTCTAGTGGCCAGAGCCCAGGACAGAAGAGCCAGGAGGCACTCGGCAGCTCTTACCAAGCTGCAGAAGGCACCCCAAGGCCTCAGTGTGCACCCCCTCTCATCCTCGAACTCACTGCCTACCTGCTTTGGCCTGTTGTCCCGGCAATGGAGAAGGCATTTGGTACCCATTCCACTGATGAAGAAACTGAGGCCCACAGAGGTTAAATCACTTGAGTGGGGTGAGGCTAACTTGCCAGTGGCAGAAGCAGACTCCTGTCTCCTGCCTGATTTTAAAGCAACAGCAAATACCTGCTGTTACCCCAGCCCTGTGTATCAATCAAAGCAGGTAATAAAGCCTCTACCCTGAGTGGTGGACAGTGTAGCCATGGAGACAGAACCAGGACATGAAAATAGTCAGACCCACTTGTGCACCCCGGAGATGAGTTTTAAGGCACGGAGTGATTTGCCTTAGGTTGCAGAGGATGGGAAGGAGCAGGATTCAAAGACAGCCCAGCAGGCCTCCCACCTCCCTTACTACCTGGAGGATGTCAGAGAGGCATGCAAGGTCCAGGTCTCTTGCTGCCCCTTCTCTAGAGCAAGCTAGCTCTTGTAGGGAGTGGGCAGCCCATGGCCTCCAGGGGCAAGAAAGTGCTGGTCAATGAGATCATCTGACATCTAGCCTCTGGATGTCAGTTTGTCTCTGTGGCACTGAGACTGGAAGCCAGACCCTCCCTGCCTGGTAGAGGGCAGCCTCAGGCACACCAAGTCCCAGTGGCCAGCAGAGGGCAGCCGCCACCTCCAGCCTCTATTGAGGATGGGTGCTGGGGGCCCATGGGCAGTTCCGAGAGAGTCCCTAGGGCTGTGCTCACCAGGGTGGACTGGACCTTTTGAAATCACAGCTTCTCAGCTAGGCCCAATCCCCTCCTTCGCCCCCCTCACCCCAGAGCCACTTGGACCCCAAAAACCCGGGACTTCCCTGGGTGTCTTTAGCTTTAGCCAGAGAAAGCCAGAGGCTGTAACATATTCTAGGGTCATAGGGTTTAGTGTGGTTCGCTCTGTCATACCTGGGCTGGGTGATGTGGAGCAAGACCTCACCCTCTTGGGCCTCAGTGACAAAACGACACTCTACTCCCCAGCCTGTCTGTACTCACAGCAGCATGCACTCAGCCCCGAGTCCCTGTTGCTCAATAAAACCAGAGCAACAGGATTGGCAAGTGCTGGCTAAATATGGGGACCTTTGCCTCCCTGCCCCAACCCAGGCCCTGCAGGTGGGGCCTTAACCCTTTGGAGGCTAGAAAAGATTCTCTGCTTTTTTGTTTTGTTTTTGTCTTTCATTGCAGTTTGGCTTGGTTTGGTTTGGTGCTGGTATTGGGGCTTGGAACACAGGGCCTGGCTGCCTCCCTTGGCTTTTTTATTCAAGGCTAATGTTCTACCACTTGAGCCACAGTTCTTCTTCAGGCTTTTTGCTGGTTAATTTGAGATGGGAATCTCTCTGATTTGTCCATGATGGGGATCCTCCTGAGTAGCCAGGATTACAGGTGTGAGCCACAGTGCTCCGCTGGACTGCCGCCACCTGTGTTCTGGCCCTGTCACTCACTGCCAAGCTTGGTTTCTAACTCACCCTTGTTTGGTCCTCTGGAAAGGAGATGAGAAGCCCCCTGATGGAAGCTGGGCATTCTGTGCTGTGTTGTCTGAGCCTTAGCAAGCCCAAAGCCCAGAACTTTCCAGGCTCTCCAGATGCCTGACTACAAACTTGAAAAACGAGTTAGGAACCTGAGTTTTCCTGCAGGGAGACTGACGGTGAGGGTGCCCCACCCTGGGGTGACCTACACACTCTTGGGACACAGAGACAGAGACAGAGAGCACCTGTGGGACAGATGACAGGGCAGCCCTGAGCCTCTGATCTGAGGCTTGTTTGCAGAAGGCTAAACAAACACCCTCCATGCCCGTGACCAAGGCCCTCTTCTTCCCAGCCCAGTATGGACACAAGCCCAGCTGGGGGTATTCCCAGGAGAGAGGGCCCTGGGGTCCAGTCAGTTCTTCTAGGCACTGCTGGACCTGTGTCTCTCTGTGTTAAGTGAGAAGTGGCCCACAAGTACAGCTTCTCTCTTCAGTCCTAAAATGCCTATAGCTGAAAAATAGAAACCAGATTGGAGTGAAGCGTTACTGGCTCATGCCTTGTAACCCTAGCTGCTCAGGAGGCTGAGATCTGAAGATCGAGGCCCAAAGTCAGACCAGGCAGGGAAGTCTGAGGAGACTCTTATCTCCAATTAGTATCTGTCTGTCTGTCTGTCTGTCTCTGTCGGTCTCTCTCTCTTTCTCTCTCACTCTCTCTCTCTCTCTCACACATACATACACACACAAACACAAACACACACATTAAAAAATAAAAGAGCTACAAAGCTGGGCACTAGAGGCTCACACCTGTAATCCTAGCTTCTCAGGAGGCTGAGATCTGAGGGTCTTGGTTCAATTCCATGAGACTCTTATCTCTAATGAACTACCAGAAAGCTGGAAGTGGGGGTGTGGCTCAAGTGGTAAAGCACCAGCCTTCAAGGAAAAAGCACTGGTATAGATAGAGAGAGAGAGAGAGAGAGAGAGAATCAGATGGGATGCAGCATGAATAGATAGATAGATAGATAGATAGATAGATACATAGATAGATACATAGATAGATACATAGATAGATAGAATCAGAGAGGGAGGGGCTATTCTGGAAGATCCAGGGAACAGGTCCAAGCCCGTGCCAGCCTGCACACAGCTCTGGAGAGAGCCCCGTGTCTCTGGCCAGGATCCATCCACTTGAGGATGCCCCTCCCCCCGCCCCCGCCAAAACAGAGCTGCCACATCTGGGAGCACTTCTCCCAGTCAGCCATGGCCACCCCAGCTGTTTTCCATAGCGCCTCCATTTTCAAGGGTTCCTCCTTCTTAATAAGGATACCTCATTTGGCTGTTGCTAACGAGGGAGGCGGGCAGAAGGGAATTGCTCAGCCAGTCATGGGATGCCTGGGAAGGGTGGGGACAGGGTGAAGCCAGATGGGTTAGAGCCTCTGGAACCTTGTGTGGGGCCCTGGAGCACCCTGGTTGTACTGCTTCCTCCACTGGGAGATGAACAGCCCTCCCATTCTCCTCTCTCTCAACACAGGTATGACCTTGAGCTCCAATTCACAGTCATTCTAAGGCTCAATGTTAGAGGCAAACTCAGGCTGAACTTCAGAGTCCTGCATTCAGGCTAGGGAGGCCTTGGGGGGTGTTGGCCTGGCCAGGGAGCACTACCCATGCACTACAGCTCTGCCCTGGAGACCAGGGCAAGGCATGTGCTGAGCTACTGTGTGTGTGTGTGTGTGTGTGTGTGTGTGTGTGTGTGTGTGTGTGTGTGTGTGTGTGTGTGCATGCATGTGTGTCTGTGTGTGTGTGTCTGTGTGTGTGTGTGTGTACTTATGTGCTGGTCCGCCTGAGTGTTCTCCTTTGGCTTTTTCACTTAAGACCAGCACTCTGCTACTTCAGCCATAGCTCCACTCTTGTTTTTTTGGTGGTTAATTGGAGATCAGAGTCTCATGGAAGCTGGGCACGGGTGGCTCACACCTGTAATCCTAGCTACTCAGGAAACTGAGAACTGAGGATCAAAGCCAGCCTGGGCAAGAAACACCAGGAGACTCCAATTAAACACCCCAAAAAAAAGCCAGAAATGGAGCTGTGGCTCAAGTGGTAGAGCACTAGCCTTGAGCAAAGAAGCTCAGAGACAGTGCTTAGGCCCTGAGTTCAAGCCCCAGGACTTACACACGTGCACATGCACACACACACGTGTGCACACACACACATATACACAGTCTTATGGACTTTTCTGCGTGGGCTGGCTTCAAACCACCATCTTAGCCTCCTGAGTAGCTAGGATTCTAGATGGGAGCCACAGGTGTCCGGCTGTCCTGAGCTTGTGGGGTACAGTTATGAATACAGGAAGACAGGCAGAGCCAGAGCCCCCAGTCCTCAAGGAATAGCAGGCCACTTCCCCACCGTGAGATGGGAGCTCAGTGGTGGGCAGGTAGGGGGAACACGGAGGAGGCACCCATGAGGAGTAGGAGCCTGGCTAAGACCATCCAATAACAGGATGCCACCACATCTCCAGGTGACAGCTAGGGGACCAAGCATGGGAAAGTCCCAGCTCTCCGTGAGCCTCACATGTGAAATGGGTCTGTCTCCCCACTCTGGGCTTGGGGTTTTGTGGGGACAGTGACTGACCCCTGCCCTTCCTCTCCCTGCTGGCAGGTGGTCAGTCGGGTAGCGGCCCAGCAAGGGTTTGACCTGGACCTTGGTTACAGACTGCTGGCTGTGTGTGCTGCAAACCGGGACAAGTTCACTCCCAAGTCCGCTGGTAAGTGTTGCTCGTCGGCTCATATCCTGTGAAGATGGGAGGGGGAAAACTAACCTCCGGCTGTTGCCATGCTATGCCTTGGTTTGCCTAGGTATGAGGCAGGCCTCCCTGAAGCATCTCAGCCCTGTGGAGCCACAGATGGGGGTGGGCCTTTCCCAGCAGGCACTTGCCCCAGGGTTGTCGTAGGGCTGTGGGGATCCCCAGGCAGGCTGCTTTCCCCAGGAAAGGCACTGTGCTAAAGGCAGACTCCTTTGGTTACCCTCTAGTGTGAGCATTGGATCCATTCTCAGAAAACTGAGGCTTAGAGAAACAGAAAAGACTTCTTGGGTCACACAGCCTGGTTAACCCAGATCATGCAGATACCTACAGAATCACCATGAACCACCCTTCCTTACACTCCTCCGTGTTCATTCACTCATTCATCCACTCACTCATCCAAAATTCCACTTATTTAAAAAACACACACACAACTAAATGATGTGTTGGGCTGGGAAGATGGCTCAGTGGTAGAGTGCTTGCCTTGCATGCATGAGGCCCTGGGTTCGATTCCTCAGCACCACATAAGCAAAAAAGCCGGAAGTGGCGCTGTGGCTCCAGTGGTAGAGCGCTAGCCTTGAGCTGAAGAGCTGAGGGACAGTGCCCAGGCCCAGAGTTCAGGCCCCATGACTGGCGGAGGAAAAAAAAAAAAAACTAAATGATGTGGTGGCTTAGTATTTGTGATCCTAGCTACTCAGGAGGCTGAGATCTGAGGATTGCAATTCTAAGCCAGCCAGGGAAGAAAAGTCCAGAAGACTGTGAACTCCAATTAACAACCAAAAAGCCGGAAATAGTACTGTGACCTTGAGCAGCAAAACCCAAGCAAGAGGCGGAAACCTTGAGTCCAAGGCCCAGTACTAGCACCCATGCATGCTCATGGACACACACACACACACAGAGGTACATTCTTAAAAGCCTGCTGTGCACACTGTGACCGTGTCACAGATGGGCCCAGCTAAGATCACAGTTTCTAAGCCTACCACTGGAGGCTTTAAGCTCACTAAAGATACGGTTTATCTGGTACAGCATCTCACTACTATAGTCCCAGCCAGTTGCGCGTCTAAGAGAGGCATATTATTTTTTAGTCCAGCCTAGGCAATAGATTGAACCCATCTCAAAAATAAAACAAAAAATAAAGCCATAGTTTTATGCTTGCCACTGTCCTCTCTGAGGCAGCAGATATGTGTAAGCGTTAAGCCAGGCAGACCTGTGACAGTCTCATGGTCATTTGTGAAGCATGCAGTCTCTGGGTCTCAACTCCTCTGGATGGCAGGGGGTGATCATGTGACTTGTCTTGCTCAGATCGTGTAAGTTTATAAACATGTGATGTGATGTGTGAACTCTGTGTCTGGGTTTTGTTACCATTCGCTATTGATTCAGAATAAGGCATGATAAAAAAAATGAGAGTATTTTATAATAATCAAAACAGTGGAGTGACAGTGGCTCATGGCCTATAATCCTAGCTACTCAGGAGACTGAGATCTGAGGATTGTGTTTCAAAGCCAACCTGGGCAGGAAAGTCCACGAGACTCTTATCTCCAATTAACCACCAGAAAACCGGAAGTGGCACGGTGGCCACTAGCTTTGAGTGAAAGAGCTCAGGGACAGCACCCAGGCCCTGAGTTGAAGCCCCACAATCGATAAAAACAAAAAAGAACGAAAAATAAGTAATCAAAACAGACATTTTCCTGTGATTTGCTAGCCAGTTCTCTGGAGCATATCTAGAAACAGCCTTTGTGAAAATATTTGAAAGGCCTCTCAGGAAGCATTTCCATACATGGGCTCGAAGGCATATGCCTCCTGTCCACACAAGCTTCACCATAGATAGCACCTTGCTTACAGAAAGCTGTGTGATGCCCTCACACGCCATTTCTGCTGATATCGGCAGTATTCACAAGAAGTCAGTATAAGTTAGAAGCTATTAGAAACCCAGACTTAGCCAGGCAATACTTCACTCACACCAGCTATGCAGGTGAGGATGGTGCTCAGTCCCCCAGGTGAACAAGCCAGGGCCCTGTCCCATGAAATTTACCTTCTTGTGGAAAGGGTTCAGCAAGCTTTTTCCTTGAAGGGTCGGAGAAAGGTCTACTTTAGGCCCTATGAATTGGAGGGGAGCAGTCATGGGCCATCTGTAAAGGGGTGAGTGTGGCTGATGCCAACAATGTTTTATTAATTTATGTTTACGTGGCACCAAGGAATCAAACCCAGGTCCTCGTGCATGCAAGGCAAACACTCTACCGCTAAACCACATTCCCTGCCACCAATAAAGTGTTATTTGTGAAAATAAGTGATAGCCTATGCAGACCATTGATCAAATGATTAGGGATGTGGTGGAAGTGTGCATGCATTGGGGCAAGGGGGTGGGGGGGTGGGGAGGAGAGGGGAGTTAAATCTGTAAGCTTGAGTTGTGCTAATTGCCATGAAGGAAAAGCTGAGACTTGGGGGCCTCATACTGTGCTGGAATCTAGATGGACTCCCCTAAAACTGAGAAAGAATTGAACAGGTAAAGAAATAGTGGATGAACTCCTTTTCTGGTGAAGAGAGCAACCTGTGCAAATGCCCTGGGATAGGAGAGGAGCATTGCTTGGTGTTCGAATCAAGACAAAGGAGGTTGTTCTGGAACCCAGAGGCAAGGAACTGTGTGCTTAGTCATCAGTGGCTGAACCTGCAGCGCCCAACTTGAAAGTTGTAGCCTTTATCCTAAGGCTAATAAGGATATGTTCAAAACTGTCCATTTATGAAAACTATTCCTGCTATCAGAAGCCTGATTGCAAGGGTGGCTGCAGGGGCCATTTGGCCAATCGCTGGGGAAGATTGGGTGCCTGATGATGCTGAATCAGGGAAACAAGAGTGTAGTGGAGAGACAGGAAACGTATATTAAGAGGTATAACGGAATTTGTAGTGGAACATTTGTCTGGTTCCGTCTCTAGCACAGTAATCAATCGGTCAATCCATCAATCAATCAATCATTAGGCAAAACCAAGACAGGGAATTCCTAACCAGAGAGGAAGAAGAAAAGAAAGCTGTTCTGGAAGTTCCCGCTACTTCTTGGTGGAGGGTGTGTTAAGCCCTTTGACTACCAGTGCATGCTGGGTGCTCTCCTGTGTTTTGCGGTAGTTCTTGCATCATGAGACAGATATTACCTAGGGATGAGGGCAATGGAGCCCAATGTGGGCCTGTGGCCAGCCATAAATGACAACTTGAACATTATCATAGGTGACTCCAAAGCTTATCAGGGTTGTAAACCAGGGGACCACTGTTCACGACTGTGTCTTTCCACATGGCCCTGTGCCTTTCCAAGTACCATTTCCAGTGTCGCCGCTTCTCCTGAAACAAGGTTGTATTCTTTCTTTCCTGTCTTCACCCTTAGCTGAGCACAGCTATTTAGTTGACAGAGCCCCTTACCATGCACTGTCCACACACAAGGCTTGTTAGGCCCTGGGGATGAGTTCTCAGGGTACCCATTTTTTCAGCTGCAAACACTGAGATGCAGTGTGCCTGTGGCTTAGCATCCCTAGAGGTCCCTTGACTGGACTCAAACCTGGATCATCCTTGGTTCACCTTTCACAGGGCACAGTCTGGGGAGGGGGCCCTCAGCAGCAGCTTCTAGCTAGCAGACATAGGAAGGGCTTGGGTGCAGGCTGGCCAGGGAGAGGGCTGGTGGGCACAGGGAAGCAAAGCAGTGATATCAGTTTCAGGAGCTCCTGGCTCCATGGGTGGGTATGCATGACCTGGGGTGACCCTGCCCTGGAGAGGCTGCAGGTGTCAGTTTCCCCCCATCCTTCCCAGGAGGTCTCTGCATCCTAACTGTGCCTGCAGCCAGTGGCTGCCTCTTCTCCCTCCTGTCTTCCCATCTGTCTGGGCTCCACTCTGTCTGGCAGTTGTCCCTGTCCTTCCTCCCTGAGGGGCGCTGGTGTCTGGTTGTCTGGCCATTCCTTCCTTGCCACTGTTATCCATGTCTAGCTTGTCTTTCTGCATTTCTGTCTTTCTGCGTTGCTCCCTGTGCAAGTGTGCATGTGGCTGGAATCTGTGCAAGGGTGTGTGTGTATGTGTGTGTGTGTCTGTCTATCTGTCTGTCTGTTTTGGGGGGGCAGGGCCAGGGTTGAGAGCATCTGTCTGTATGTGCATGCCTAATGCATTTGGCTGTGCATTGAGGGGTGTATGTGTGCGTAGCTGTGTATGTCTGTGTACGGTGTGGGGAGGGGTGCGTGTGTGCACGTGTGCATGGCTGCGTCTGTGGGCGCCGCTCACCGCCCCTCTCCCTGTCTGTCTCTTCTGTCAGGAGGCCAGGCTGGGCCCCCGAGGAGGATGAGATCATGCCGTGCAGAGAGGTTCATTGTCAGGAGAGCTGGCGGAGAGCCGGGCTGTGCGCAGAGCATCGGTGGCTATGAGCAGGCGCACGGGCCCTCAGGGTAGCGTGTGTGTGTGTGTGTGTGTGTGTGTGTGTGTGTGTGTGTGTGTGTGTGTGTGATAGAGACAGAGAGTGTGGAGTGTGAACACAGCCCAGACGCTGCAGCGAGCCGCCCAGGCAGGCATCTCCACGTGGGGCCCTCTTATACCCAGCCCCCAGCTCTTTGTTCTGGTGCAGCCGTCAGCCTCTGCGCGTCCACAGAACAGGAGCCTGCGCGTGCACACCAGATGCATCCTCAGCCCACCACTCCTGGGGGCCAGCTGCATACCCTCTCCTGCGTCATGCAGAAGGTCACCTGCCCACCCCCACCCCCCAGCACCTTGCCACCCCCCTGGCTCTCTTCTGAGGCGGTGGCATGCCCACCCATCCCCACCCCCACCATGTGCCAGCCAGCCATCAGCAACTTGGAAGAAACATCAGCCTCCTGAACATAGAGTGGTCCATCCTGTTGGCTACGTGTATGCCACGCACCAGGCAAGCGTTCTCTCCAAGGTCTCCAAGAGCCCTCTGCACGTCTCTGTGAGGTGTCCATGCTTGGATAAATCCATGTCAC